GACACGAACAAGCTGCTGCTGCAATGGAAGGGCCCTTTTGAAGTCCGGGAAAAGAAAGGTGAAGCTGACTACAGTCGTCGACACGGCTGGCGGCAGAAAAATCTTCCACGCCAACTTACTAAAAAGATACGAGGAGAGGGACAGCAGCCCACGAGGGGGCTTTTCGAAGTCTCAAACAACATGTCTCTACGGAGCCGATACTACGGCTACCAAATTTGCACCAACCATGCGTACTTCGAACGGACGCATCGGACACAAGTCTTGGAGGCATGCTCATGCAGGCCTACGAAGGCAAGCTCCACAGCTTATGCCAGCCGAAAGCTGCTTCCACGGGAGGCTTCCTATAGTACCATCGAACGCGAATGTCTCGCGTTGGTATGGGGAATTCAGAAATTATCCATGTACTTATATGGAGTACATTTTTGGGTCCAGACAGACCACCAGCCTCTGAGTTATATCCAACAGGCAAAACAGCTGAATGCTCAAGTACTTTGATGGAGTTTACTACTCCAAGAGTACCAGTTCACCATTACGCATAATAAGGGTAGCGAAAACGTGGGAGCCGATTACTTGAGCCGGATATAGTTCTTGAGGTCTCGGGAGCATAATATTTTTTTTTATTCCTTTCGTCGTTTGTTTTCTGTTTGTATGTGCGTATTTCATTGTATAAAAAGTGTATTTTGAGTTATTTTTTGTTTGCTTGGTGCATTGGTTGTTTTTACATGTTGTAATGCACATGGAAGGATTTCATCACAGTAGAAGAGCGCACCTGTTCCGTTTTGTTTCGTAGTATACATTCGTGCAGTGTATTCTGTATTGATGGCTGCCGTACACGGCTATTTCTTTTTCTTGTTTGTATGGCGCATTCATATTGTTGCGTGTAACTGAAGCTGGTGCTCTAGCAATTGTTTTTTCCCTTTTGTTGTTACTTTGATGCACTCTGCCTATTTATGTTGTGTATGAGAAGGACAGTCCTCATGTCTCCCTTGTTGGTGGTGTTTTGTTCCTTGTTGTCGAAAAATTCCCCTCCGTGTGAGCAAATGTTATGAATAATATTCTGAAAGTGGGGGCCAATGTCACGGACTGCCATTTTTGCGAGCCGGCGTCACGGCAATTAACGGGCGCCGTACTACCCCGCTGACCGGCGGGCGCATGAAAGAGAGCCGGGAAGTGCAGAATGGGGTGCTCTTCTTCGAACGTCACCGCCGACGTTTCATTCTTTGTACCTACGGCGGCGTCTGCAGGGTCGTGGAAGGCCGCGATGTACCCCGAACAAGGATTAGACTACGGGACGCACCGGCTGAGTGCCAAACAGTCTGACCGTTCTCACGGGAAAACCGTGGGAAAACCTCTAGTGGCCAAGCCGTATGACAGCACCCCAACAGGTTGTCACTCTCGCTAGTTGAGGGCCCTCTCCTAATTAAAAAGGGGTGGGGTCAATATATTTTTTGGGGCGGAGTTCCATCAATGAAACGTGCATGATTGGACCCATGTAGAGGTCTCTTGTCCCCAAGAAAGAAAGCGAGGGGACACGAGGGAGATTTAAGTGCAGGATTTTGCCCTGCTCGGCAGACTAGTCACTGACCAACATGGTTTAGAAACGGATGAAGAAGTATCTCTTATAGAAGTTTTTAGTGTGGCTCTGTATCGGCTGGCCACCTAAACTTAGCCGTTCGTCTAGTTGTGACGCGATATTAACGTCTGCAACGTAGACATCGGAACTTCGCCTTGAGTTAGCTCAACTTGCCCGAGGTCACCTGCAAGCACTAGCCTCCCGGAGCCACCAGCGTTGCAACACCGCCGACATCACAGTCGAGCCAGAACTCTCTTCGACTTCTCGCATCCGATCGTCAGGGACGCAACGCTGCCTATCATCACACGTATGCCTTCACCTGTTTATATCTTCGAACTTTCTCCTCCGTAGTTGTATTGTTGTTCGTTTGTGTAGTTTGTAATAGTTCTCTCTCGTAAGCTGATTTATTGCTTTTATATGTATTTTTTTGTTGTATCAAGTGTTGATGTATTTGGTTAGTTGTATTGAAGTGTTGTACTAGATCCCGTGTGCTGCAATATCACTAGAGTAAAGTTTGTTTTGTTTTCTCACGTCTCTGATCTCTTCACTGTTTCTGCTTGCGTACGGAACGAACTAACCTTCTGTCATTCCCGTCGCCGACTTCGCGCTGGCGACGCTAGAGTGGCAGCTTGTAACACACACCTAAATATTCGGGGAAGACTACGCATTTAAGGTGCAGAGCTAAAATTATGTAGGGTCCAGCAAGCTAGCAAGCGACCATTCTCTCTATGAGAACAAGTTGCGGTCTGCCATGCGAGACTGCTGTTATCACAGCGAGCAAGTTCAAGGTGGGAAAGCACTGCTGAAATAATTGCTAATACAAGGAGTCGTTATGTGCTTGCACATTGTAGCACATTTGCATTCATTAAGTACGTTGTAAGAGGCAATCGCACCAGATATTTGTCAATTCGAAAATATTGATACTGGACAATAGTTCGTAATTTATGCTCGCTCTGTAGGTCATATTATGGAATATCAAAACTCTGTAGGTCATATTATGAAAGAAAGAAAAAGATAGATAACTTCACTGACGATTATCATCCTACTGCCGAATGCAGATTATGAGCGCATCATTGTGTTGGGTCAAGGTCAACTGTGTCTGACGTTGTGGTTTTCTAAAGTATACCAAAGTGCCCAATGGCCCTATTAGTATTCATTTTTCTGCGGACAAGTGAGATACTCGCTACACTTTTTTAAGGCATTAGTATTTGCACTTTGCTGCAAGTGGGAAGCATTAAACTTGTTATTTTATTCTACTGCAAGGCTATATTGTATAAGCTAACGCGATTCCTTGCTCGACGATCGTGCCTCTGTGATAGTATCTGCCGCATTGAGGGCCCAGCTTTAAATCCCATTACATTCTGGGTAATCTTTATATATTATCGCCCGTTACATTTTCATGCCTATCGCTTACACAACCGACAGCGACACTGCTCAACGCAGAAATGGGCGCTTAAAAGCTGCACTCTAAAAAAATCAGCATATCCACGGACTGAATGATAATGAATGGGGCGAAGTGTCCGTCCGTCCGTGCATCCATCCGTCTGTTCAACCGTGGGTCGATCTGATCGTCCGTGTGTCTGTCTGCCTGTATTTCCGTCTGTCTAGTGAACACTCGCAAGTACCACATCTCGCATCTTTTCATCATATATTGATTATATACAAATATGGCCATCTAGCGGACATTCCAAGAACTTAACTCCTTGGTGGTACCAGTGTCCTTCAATCTGGTGGTACATACCCGAGAGAGGTGGTTACTACAGAGGACGATCGGGTGATGATGAAGGAGCTTTGCCCCTAAAATAGAACAACAGGATTGAGAAATATAAAATGGAATGAATGCGCCAAATTGACGCGGGCTGCGAGAAGCACCACAGTGGAGGTCCTTGTAATTTCAGCCATCTGGTGATTGTACACTTACATCGCACAGTACACTATGTAGGCACCTCCATCGAAATGCAATTGCTGCGGCTAGGACCGCACCTCTTTCTCCCTTGTCAGTAGCCGAGCACTATGCCACTATGGCAGTGGAAGAAAAAGATCCCGATCGAGCAGTCAATTAAGTTGGAAACAATTAAAACAGCACATCTGAATACAGTTTCCTAAAACATTCACGTATGTGCATGCTACACAATATTTAAAATTCATCTTAACATGCAAGCACTTAATATTAGTTGAAAGATTTTTTACTCCAGTCCAGAAAGAAAGGAATTGCAGTGCAAAGCAACACATGGACAGACGAAGGGCACGCGTGACTGGCTGGTTGTGTTCATTGAAGAAACTTAATACAAATATCCACATTACAATAGCAGCAAAGGAAGGTCATGTGCCCCTCAAAAGTCATATGAACTAATCTAGCCGAAGAAAACTCTTTGCTAAGCTATGCTTTACTCGTGCACTTAAACATACAACTCCAGGAAGGCACATTTAGATAATTACCTAAATGCACATTGTTCGTAATCACTGGTCCAGCAGCTGATATGCTGGGATACTTGTATATTGCTCTTTTAGCATTTATATATATCCACTAGGCCCCGAATGCATAGCGTCTTTACACAATTTTGAGTTAACTCGAATCTAGCTAGACCCCCTTGAAATCTTGCAGGCAAAAAAGTGCGAGGGCATTTCATAAATGAATTAATTTGTTATCACTGTAAAAAAAACAAAACAAATTGTCGGGTCATTCGATGGAGGCTAAAATGCTGTAGGCCCTCCACTCTACGACGTCTCTCATAACCATATGGTGGTTCTCGCACGTTTTAATCCCACATATTCATCGATCTGGTTGTAGGTTATACGCAAGAAAATATGGTATGTGTAAACGCGCTGTGAAAGTGCATTGGTGGCGGCGGCGCGCCGATCAGTTGGCGTCGGCGGTGACGTCTCGACCAACGTTCCTGGATGCTCTCGGCGCACACCTCTAGTTGCAGATTCGCGTTCAGGCTCGCAAGTCATGGAAGAAGGCTAGCAGTGCACAAAACAATAACTAACACTACCTTTTGAGATTTGCGACTCGTTCTCTTGGGTAAGTGTCACCTGTGACGTCAGTGTGGGCACAAGATGTAGTCAATAAATAATTGTATTCATATGTTGTTGGTTGTTTTTGTGCTTACCTAATTATGGTAATAATTTTTTGTATTTTAAACAGACATCACCTTTTTCAGCTTTTCACAAAGTAGGAATTTTATACGTACTTCTTTTTTTTTGTTTTCTTCGAGCGCCATTTGTGCGCGTAACACGCTGGTAGAGTGTACTAGAATAGTACACTCTAACGCTGGCTTATTTACTCCGTAAAGATTTCCTTTTTTTACCCTTTTTAAGCATTCTTATTGTCCATATTTGATTTCATCGTAGACATTCACTGGCGTGATTCATTTTGCCACATTTTGCTACCGACAAGATGTTGATCGCAACCTGACGTGGCGCTGCAATCGCAAGTGCTCGTTTCGCGCATGATGCAGCGTTTGCGTTCAAGGAACGCTCGCCCTCGGTTACTTTCGCTTTTGCCTTGTGATGTCCTTGTTTCGGTAGCAAGGTTAACTCTCTCCGAAATTCTGAGCAGGGAATGGATTCAATAGACAGCTCTATGAGCGGCAGCATGGGCTCTCATTTTCAAGAGAGTGAACCAGAGCCAAGCTTATTCGGCATTGGTAAGACACCTTTCATGTCATTTTATGACGTGTCATCGCTTACAACCGTATGATTATGTTTAGTTATTGTATTACCGTATTTACGCTGTCATAATATGTTGCTTATGGAAGTGCAGTGAATGAGTTCTTCCGTGCCGCACTGTTAAGTAGGTTATCGCGCAAAGCCCTACTTAACGAAGTCGTAGCGATACATTTCGAATACTGTTGTCAAAGTTTACATTTCGTTTGGAATTATTTCACGTTGCGACACCATTAAGACGCAGATGAGCATAGGCAAGCTTATGCTGAGCGAACAGGGCGCTGGCATTTTACGTATTGCTAGACCTCGTAGATGTTTTCCTTTTCCTTCAAAGCGAAATGCAACATTTCCTTCAGTACATTTTTTGTTCACACACTTTGATAAAGGGTACCCGCCATTATTCCCGTCGTGTGAGCCTCGCCATCGAAAAATGCTTCACGATTTCTATTGTGACGCATGAGAAATGTCCTAATGATGAAGCTGATATGAATATGGTATCCATGTTTCGATGGAGACGTACCAGCTTGTAATGTAATGTTCTGACGAAGTTGCCGATGCAGGTGCCAGTTTTAGTATACTGCAAGGACGTCAAGTTGCTGGACAACCGGTGGTCCTTGCGGGTTGTACCATTCAGAGTTCCCGGCACACCGCAATATATAAACGAGGAAAATCATATGAAACACCAGTCCCGCTCGCGATTGGTTCGTAGAGATAGTTTTCGTTTAGCATGCTTAACCTCCCCTCCCCACACACACAAAAAAAGATCAGATCAAAAAATATAAGCGGGACCAAAATATAGGAGATGTAATAATCTATCCTGCATGCTTAGAGTATTAGTGTCAGTCAGGTTAAGCTAGAAAAGCGAGGATGCCTATGCGCAAGGCCATTTCATGGCATCCCAGAAGCGTCAAGGAAATGTGTAGGTGAGCTTAAGAAATGCGTAATAAATAGGCCTTGCCAGACACGTCAAAACTCACCAGCTCATTCACTCCACTGAGTGTTTTAGGCAAGTTATAAAGTTTTGTGCAAGTTAAAGAACAAACAAGAACTTGGGCAAATGAAGGAATGAATTAGAATAGTATGAATGAAATTGAATTTATTTGCAGTGATTCATTGCACAAGTGGTTATTCAGTGAGACTAAAGACTGTGTAACTTGTTGTGCATCCATCTTTAGCTTAGCACACTATTTGCATGAAATCAAACCAAAGAAAAGAAACTAGAGAAATACATGGGACATGCCGTCATAGTGGTATATACCATAACAAAAGAGGAGGTTGTGAAAAGGCTGATAAATTTTGATTGAAAACATGCATGAACTATTACTTTTAAGTCACGGCACATAAATGTTTACTGGCAAAGAAAGCTGAAACCTCGATGTGAAAACTTTTACCTTACTAATTTGAATTTCCTGTGTGCAGTCCTGAACTTCATCTCAGCAAATGGGTGGTTCATCACATTTGGACTCATCGGCTTGTACGTGCTGTACCAGAAACTTGGCTCGTATCTACCGACGATGAGCCGGGCTTCACCACCAACACAGCAGGCCTATGGTATGATGCATGTTACTCGCGCACGTATATTATTACAAAAAAGTACATCTCGCAAGGCATCGCTTGGGGGCTCGGGGCATGTGCCCCAATTTGTGTAAGGTGCGACTTTTCTGCTACCGTTTTATTAGCAGCGCCATTCTCAATCATGGTACACTATAAACTTATGCTTCATGCCACATTTTGTGGCTATTTGTATCACATTTTATCATTGGGGCTATCGTAGTGATCATGGCAGGGGTACAATTTTGTCCCATTTGTCACATCACATGAAACCTATGGCGAGGCAAAAGTAATTGTTTTGAGTTTTAAGCATCAGTCTTTATCTGGCTTGACTTAATATCAGCTTCTACAAGGTGATGCTGCCGGCTTGTACATTCGAAACCCAGTATAGCACCAAATATGAGGTCAAATATTTCGGGCTTATTTTAACCTTTTAAAGTTAGCATCTGTGTTTGAAGAGCAATAGAGCTGTGATGACAAGTCAGGTGGGATGCTTTAACAAATAGCACTTCTTGGTTGGCTGGTAGTTTGGAAGAGGTGCATATGTGAGGGAGCTTTTTGGGCAGGAGAAACTGATGAACAAAAAAATTGTACAGTGACTGTGGAAGCTGCAGGAGACGGCAAGTGATACTTTGTGTGATTGCTGGCTACATGCAGCAGAATGCTATGTGACTAGCATGCTCGTGGCAGCATTGTCTGCACACCGCCAATATTCCTTTCACCCTGTTGTATACATGTTACTATGCCCCCTTATACTGTTGGTGTAAGAGTGGAATGAATTTCATGAATTTTCTAATTTGCAGCGCCTTCAGAGGCAGATGAATTTGTGAAGCGGCAAGAAGCTCTGGCACGGGCACGGCAAAGGATGCAAGAAAAGCAAAATGAACTAGCGGAGAAGCAAAAGGAAAAGATGGCTCAGGTGAGGATGTGCACACTAGTCTCCACAAAAACACAGATTGTCCAGGATAGTATAGCAGGTTTTGGTAAGAGTGTTCTATCAAGACTTTCAAGTATAGAATGCAATATCTGCTCATACAGTGGCACTTCATGGTGCTCTTTGGCCATAAAATGGTCCTTGTGCCATAAAACACCGCACATCACAGTTGAACCCCTTAAGAACAATGTCTTGCAGCAATGATCAAATGTGGCGTCACTGGGGAATGTCTATTCAGTTCTTTACATTTGCCCCCTGTCAACAGCGAAGTGATTTTAAGAAGCACTCCCACAATAAGAAGTTTCAGGTAGTGATCCGCAATGTGTTTTTTTAAATAAAGAAACTCATCAGCTAGCAGGGAAAGTTTGAAAATAGCAGCACTGCTCGATTCGACAAGTTGGGCACATATGTTTCTGCCAACAAATATTGATGCTGCCTTTACTGTTTACATTTGGTTGGATGATGATGATGATACCTAGACTTTAATCTGTCTCGGTTGGTAACTCGGCTGATTCGTGTAACGCCCACCACAGCCTCACTACTTGATACTAACATCAGTTCCTGATATTGCTTCATCGGTAACATACACCCCTGGCTTGAGCGATCATGACGTACTTCACTTTACCATTACCCTTCCTGCATCAAACCCACGTAGACAGTTGTAATAGATAAAAGTCTACAGCAAAGCAGACTTTGAAGCTATAAACTTTAGTCTCTGCTCTTTTCTCGATGAATTTCTTTTAGATTATTCTCACAAACCCATGGCAGTCGTTCAAAGTAAAGGTTGCTGAAATAACAGCCTGAAATGTCTCTAAGAACTATATACAGTAATTCTAACACACCTTGGTATTATAGGCACCTTAAAAGGTTATCGAATAAAAAAACGGCTGTTTCATGCCGCGAAACGATTGCATAGTGTCAAACACTAGTCTGTCTATAAAACGGCAGCTAAGTCCTACAATGACGCTCTCAATAGTGCTAAACACCATTTATTTCACTACACACTACCGGAATTGTTGCAAACTAAACCAAAGCAGTTTTGAAACACATTTAAGACGAAAAAGGACCCAACTATTTGCCTTGTTGATGAACTCGGCTCTCCCAGTCCCAAAAGGTCACTGGCTTCATTACTGAATGAAACGTTCACTTCTTCCTTCTGTAGACTCCATCATTAACAATCATCCATGCATGCAGAATCTTGACTTTCTTCCTATGGATCCCATTACCTTTGTACAATTGGCATTGTGACACTTATTAATAAGCTAAAGCAATCATCATCATGTGGAGTTGACTCAGTTAACTCTAAATTTCTTTAGAATACTAAACAATACAGTTTCATTATCTTAGGCTGCCTCATTACTAAATTGCTTGAAGATAACTGTCTACCTAAAGACTGGAAAAACCCTAATATGATCCCACTCCATAAGTCTTGTGAAAGACATAACCCCCGTAATTATCGTCCTATTTCTCTCACATCAGTCTCTCGCAAACTAATGGAGCACATAATTTATTCAAACCTTGTTAAACATTTGGAATCAAATAACTGCTTTCATAACCCTCAGCAGTTGTTCCCAGCAAATTCTTTTCTTGCGAAACACAACTAATACTATTTACTTATGATCTCCATGCTGCACTTGACTCAAGTGCGACTATTCAATTGTATTATCTTAGATTTCGCCAAAGCTTTTGACAAGGTTAACCATGAACTGCTCCTACTAAAATTACATTGCTTGTGCATAAGACTCTTTATTACTAGACTAAATAAAATAGTTTCTTTTTAACCATACTCAACTTGTTTGTGCTAACGATATCAATTCCTTGTAAGTGCCCGTGCATTCAGGCATGCCTTAAGCTTCTGTTTCAGGCCCACTACTGTTTTAATTGATATTAGTGTGGCTTACCTAATAACATATCCTCCCCTATATGCCTCTTTGCTGACAAATGTGTCATTTATTGTAAAATTACTGATAATAACGACAACAAAACCTTACAAACAGACCTAAACAACATTTTACATTAGTGCAAACTTTGGAAAATAGAACCTAACATCTGTAAATGTAAAGCAATGAGAGTTTCACGTAACCACACATCTAATGATAACTATTCCTACAGCCTGAATGCAACTCCACTTGAATATGTCCGGTCTTATAAGTATCTTGGTGTTCACATTACTAACTCGCTATCATGGTCTGACCACATTAATCGCGTCACATCCAAGTCTAATCGCATGCTCAGATACTTAAAACAAAACTTTCCTGTTGCGCTGACTTTTTTAAAGAAACAGCTATCGTCTTTTTTACTGCAGTACGCCGCATGTGTAGTGGGATCCCAGCCATGTAGCACTTTATAACAAATTAGAGGCAATCCGAAACCGGTCACCACGTTTCATTATTTGCTGCTGTAATCGAACATCCAGAGTAACTGCCATGAATATCAGGCTTAATCTTTCTCCACTTGTCATGCGCAGAAAAATCACTCGCCTTTGCACATTCCAAAAAATATACAATATCATAATCACGTTACAACATCGTGCTTGTGACAGCCTGTATCTTTCATATCATCCCGCATAGATCACCCCCCGCAAAGTGTGTACCCCTCGAAGTAACACCGTCACCTTTTCCCACTCTTTCGTTCCTAACACATGTTGCGACTGGAATCTTCTGTCAGCATCAACCGCCAGTATTACCAAACCTGATGCATTCCGTCAGGCTTTGACATCTTCGATGTGAAATGCATTACATGTCGCGCACGCGATAGTACCTCATTGTTTTCGTAACTTGTATTTCATACCGCTTTTTTTTTCTCGTCTTCTTATTATTGAATCTTTTGTACCTTTTGTGCGTTACCTGGCTGCATGTTTTGCTTTTTGACCATCACGCTTTTGCTAGTTTTTGTTTGTATTGCTTTTGCCGATTTTGCTTTGTCCCATTTTCTTATTATTGAATCCTTTGTACTTTTTGTGCGTTGGCTGGCTTATAAAATAAAATAATAATAATACCAGGAAGACTTGCCTCTTTGACTGAGACCAAGTTTTCACTAACGCCTTCGTTGACAATTGCGTCGGCACATCATATTTGAAGTGTCCACACTTATGAAAGGGGCTTCATGCCCGCACACATTCTCTAGTCTGTTTGACTGCTTGCTGTCAACGTCTCTCTATGTACACAGTTGAGATCTCCAGCGCTTTGCTCACGTGTAGTGTTTCGGGCAGATGCTGCCTCTTGTTAAGACATGCAAGTTTGTGACGCTGCTGGAGAAGTCTAGCATCAGCAAAGGAACTGCAAAAGGCTGAACAGATGGGACTGTAACACACTTCTGGTGAGGCCCCGCCGATCTAATAGTGGTTTATGGCAGACTGGCTGGCTTCCTACTTTACACTTCAGCCTGTGACGCCTGAAAGGCTTCCAAGTGGTACATTTAAATTTTTTCCTGTAGGCCGGTCGACCCATGTATGGTTTGAGTTTGACTGACAATGTTTAAGTCTTACTGACGGACTCGTAGAAAAGCCACAGACATTTCATTATCAACAGGTCACTTGTGTGCAGCCGAATATACAGCTTGGATTTGAAAGTATGGCACATAGTATGTCTATGTGTATTGTATAGGCATAAAATTTTATGACTTACAAAGGTTTGCAGGCTATATTATCAAAGGTTCTATACTTTAGTAGCTATGCAGTGTTGAACAACAATGTTGTAGGAGTACGGTGTATACAGATACTTTTTTTAAACAAGCCCTGCACCCAAATTTTACATTGAAACACGTTCCTTATATCATTCCAAGATAAATTCGAAAAGACTATAGGAGATGATGATAATGATGATGATAATAATTATTATAGTAATAATAATAATAAGAAGAAGAAGAAGAAGAAGAAGAATGCCCATTATTCTGGCATGTGTACAAGACAGTTACATGCCACCGAGATGAGAAAAAAAAATGGAACTGTTTCCATGGAACTAGGCTTACATCCTGGCTCAAAAACACAAATAGATGTATGTAGTACAGTTGCACCCCTTTATAAAAGACATGCACAGGGGCAGCGATTCTTGTCTTTTATATTAGGTGTCTCTTATAAGCAGCGTTCCACGTGTGCATTTTCTGACGGACTCCTATTTTAATGCAGGCGCATTGGTATCTTTTATATCAATTCGTCTGTTAATCAGTGTCAATTGTAAAGGAGTTCCGCTGTATACAAATGTTACTGAACTTACCATTTCAAATTAGAAGCTGATGACAGAAATTGACATACTCTTTTGTGTTTAACTCATCTACAGTAATACCTCGTTAACTCAGAGTCGTAAAAATCAGGGGAAATTTCGATATAAACGGTTTTTTGAGATAAGAAAAGCTGTGCTAATCGCCGGGGAAAATGAGCGCTTTTCAGGAAAACCACTAATACTTACCGGGTCTTCAGTGGTAGTTTATAATCTTTCTTCTCGTGCAGGTCTAAAAGAAAAAAAAAGTTAACGTGCACGAGATTGTAACCGACTGGGTTTTGTCGCATCGGCATTTTATTTAGCAGAGAAAGATTGTCTAATGCTCATCTGCTTTTCGGTCGTACTCGGGCCTGGGAAGGCACCTTCCAGCTGCCTGACGCATCGCATCAGTCGATCTTCCCAGCCGCTGCACTTGATCTTATTTTGAAGCCATACCATCAACGCCACTTCAACGTGTGCGAACTTTAACCATCGAACCTACTTTTGCTTGCTGGAGAAGCTCTGCTGAAATCCATCGAGCACCTTCTGCTTGTTTTTCAGCACCGTCTAAAGCGTAGACAAAGGGATGCCGAATCGCAGCACAATGCTCGATTTCATTCGGCCTTCTTCATTTTCTTAATTCGGGCAACTTTTTTTCTAGCGTCGGCAACTTGCACTGCTTTGATGCCATGCTTGCCGCAATCACGCTAAGTGTCCGCTCTTCACAGTCAGCAAGAAATCCGTACCGCTCGGTTTGGGCAAATGAACGGACATCGCTCCTCAGGG